CATCTGTTCAATGATGTTCATAGCAGCACTATTTGTAATAGTCAGAAACACGAAGTAGCCTAGATGCCCCTCAACCGAAGAATGGATAGAGAAAATGTGGCACATTTACACAATGGAGTACTACTCAGCGGAAAAAAAACAATGGAATCTTGAAATTTGCAGGAAATGGATAGAACTAGAAGAAACCATTCTGAGTGAGGTAACCCAATCACAAAAAGACAAACATGACATGTACTCACTCATATGCGGATTTTAGACATAGTGTAAAGGATTACCAGCCTACGATCCACACTGCCAGAGAAGCTAGCAAACAAGAGGACCCTAAGAGAGACATACATGGTCCCCTGGAGAAGGGGAAAGGGTCAACATCCCCTGAGCAAATTGGGAGCATGGGAAGAGGCAGGAGGGAGCTATGAGAATGAGAAGGGAAGAAGAGGAAGGATGCAGAGGACATGAGGGAGCAGAAAGTTTGAGTCAGGCGAAGAATAGAAGATAACATGAGTGGAGATACCATAATAGAGCGAAACATTTTAGCTTTACAGAGAAATCAGGCACTAGGGAAATGTCTGGAGATCTACAAAGATGACACCAGCTAACAATCTAAGCAACAGAGGAGAAGCTACCTTAAATGCCTTCCCCTGATAATGAGATTGATGACTGACTTATATGCCACCCGATAGCCCACATCCAGCAGCTGGTGGAAGTAGAAGCAGACACCCACAACTAATCACTGAACTGAACTGGAATCCAGATGCAGATAAGGACGAGTGAAGAGCAAAGGGGTCCAGACCAGGCTGATGAAACCCACAGAAACAGCTGATCTGAAGATCGGGGAACTCTTGCTCCCCAGACTGATAGCTGGGATACCACCAGCATGGGACTGATCCAGACCCCTGGAACATGGGTTTCAGTGAGGAAACCTTGGAAATCTACGGGACCTGCTGTAGTAGTTCAGTACTTATCCCTAGCATAGGTGTGGACTTTGGGAGCCCAATCCACATAGAGGGATACTCCCTGAGCCAAGACACACGGGGGTGGGCCTAGGCCCTATCCCAAAGGACATGATAGACTCTGATGACCTCCTATGGAAGCCCTCACCATGGGGGGGGCAGAAAGGATATGTAATAGGTAGGGTTTTAGATGGGGGTGGTGGTAGAGGAGGATGGGAGGGAGAGGGGAACTGGGATTGTCATGCAGAACAATCTTGTTTCTAATTCAAATAAAAAAAAATCTGAGGAAAAAAAGACTGCCAATCACCAAGATGTGGAGAAATCTGAAGGAGCCGCGTCCTGGAGGATCATTGTATCAACAATGAACTATGCCAGCATAATAAGATATCTGCTGAGGGTGGGCATAAGACAAGAATAGGCACTTGTGAAAAGTGGGTGTGCCCAGGTCTCTTTTCCTCGGGGGTGTAGGCGCATAAATATTCAGACCTTCCCCATACGAAGAGTTGCACATCTTTGTTGTGGCTATGCTGCCTACAGGGCAGCTGCCTGTGCTGATTTGTGTGACTATGGAATAATAAGTACTCAGTTTTCAGTTTTTCTTTAGAACTAACCCGTCTTGTTAAATGTGGTGGTACATACCTTTAACCCCAGTCCTCAGCTGGCTGAGGCAGTAGAACTGAGAGTTTGAGGCCAGCCTGGGCACTACTTTTGGAGACCCTCAAAACAAAGTTCTTGTTTGGTTTGTATCTTTACGTGAGAAAAAGGACCCATGCAGGCCAGTAACACCTCCTTCCAGAACTGGGAGAACTAAGTTTGTTTTATTAGCTTATCTGGTCTATGATATTCTTTTTGTTGTTGTTTTGTTTGTTTGTTTTTCAAGACAGGGTTTCTCTGTGTAGCTTTGGAGCCTGTCCTGGAACTCACTCTGTAGACCAGGCTGGCCTCGAGCTCACAGAGATGCGCCTGCCTCTGCCTGCTGAGCGCTGGGGTTAACCGGTCTATGATATTCTAACAGTATGAATTAAGATACTAATCGTAAAGAACCTGAGTAATTCGCCCTATTCATAACCATGAATGGACAGCCAAGGGTCATTAGACAGTTGGACAAAGCAGGCAGGGCAAAAAGGAAGCTTTAGATTTGGGTGCCGCAGCCTTGCACGTTATTGAGTTCTTGCTGAATACCTGGAGCCTTGATGCATTTTCCTTACAAAGTAACTAAGCCTGCAGCCGGGTCACAGGGCTGGTCAAGAAAGAGCGGCTAGGCTCAAATGCAAGTTCTAGACCCTGATAAAACAGACTTTAATTGAATGTAATTGACAAGCTTCCTTAGGAAATATTTGTATATACAGGAATAAGAAAACAGAATAGGAGTTGGGCAGTGATGACGCCAGACAGGCAGTCTCTGAGTTCCAGGCCAGCCTGGGCTACCGAGTGAGTTCCAGGACAGACAGGGCTACACAGAGAGACCCTGCCTCAAAATAAACAAAACAAAACAAAACAAAGCGCAAACTCTGTCCACGCTGGCGCCTGCGTGGTTGATGCGCATGCTCAAAACCACTGCCCGCTCGCCATCCGTCCACGCTCGCCAACGGTTTTCGGCCCACTCGGCACTGGTGGTGTCCGGTCCGCCTTGACTCAGTGGTCCTCTCCCGACTCGCCATGTCCGGCCTGCTGCGGCTCTGCCCTTCTCTCCTCCGGAAACACGCTGTCCTGCTCTTGAAGCCTGGAGGTCGCCTCACCCACTCAGAACAGCCACAGTCAGAACAGCCACGCCACCGCAACCGAGTCCTGTCGCCCACGGTGAGGTAGAGCCGGCCCAACGGCTCCGAGTGGTGAGGAGGGAGCAGGACGTGTGTGTGTGTGTGTGTGTGTGTGTGTGTGTGTGTGTGTGTGAGAGAGAGGGAGCGGGGAGGGGGGGGGGG